CTCTCAGTGTCACCATCATCACCATCACCATGGACTATCCACTGCTGGATGGAGATCACTGTGGTGGTGGTGGTGATGGTGACGATGTCTCTACCCTGAGTGTGTTCTCTAGCTCACGTGTCCCCCATCTCTCTTTGTCTCTCAGTGTCATCATCATCACCATCACCATGGACTATCCACTGCTGGATGGAGATCACTGTGGTGGTGGTGATGATGGTGACGATGTCCCTACCCTGAGTGTGTTCTCTAGCTCACGTGTCCCCCCATCTCTCTCTCTGTCTCCCAGTGTCACCATCATCATAATCACCATCACCATGGACTATCCACTGCTGGATGGAGATCACTGTGATGGTGATGACGATGTCTCTACCCTGAGTGTGTTCTCTAGCCCACGTGTCCCCCTCTCTCAGTGTCACCATCATCATCATCACCATCACCATGGACTATCCACTGCTGGATGGAGATCACTGTGGAGGTGGTTATTGTGACGATGTAGTGTATAGTGTAGTGTATAGTAGTGTAGTGTATAGTGTAGTGTATAGTAGTGTATAGTGTAGTGTATAGTAGAGTATAGTGTAGTGTATAGTAGTGTATAGTGTAGTGTATAGTGTAGAGTATAGTGTGGTGTATAGTGTAGTGTATAGTATAGAGTATAGTAGTGTACCGTGAAGTGTATAGTAGTGTAGTGTATAGTGTAGTGTATAGTAGTGTATAGTGTAGTGTATAGTAGAGTATAGTGTAGTGTATAGTAGTGTATAGTGTAGTGTATAGTGTAGTGTATAGTGTATTGTATAGCGTAGTGTATAGTGTAGTGTATAGTGTAGCGAATAGTAGTATATAGTGTAGTGTAAAGTGTAGTGTATAGTATAGTGTAGTGTATAATAGTGTATAGTGTAGTGTATAGTGTAGTGTACCGTGAAGTGTATAGTAGTGTATAGTGTAGTGTATAGTGTAGTGTGTAGTGTAGTGTATAGTAGTGTAGTGTATAGTGTAGTGTATAGTAGTGTAGTGTATAGTGTAGTGTATAGTAGTGTATAGTGTAGTGTATAGTAGAGTATAGTGTGGTGTATAGTGTAGTGTATAGTATAGAGTATAGTAGTGTACCGTGAAGTGTATAGTAGTGTATAGTGTAGTGTATAGTGTAGTGTGTAGTGTAGTGTATAGTAGTGTAGTGTATAGTGTAGTGTATAGTAGTGTATAGTGTAGTGTATAGTAGTGTATAGTAGTGTATAGTGTAGTGTATAGTAGTGTATATTGTAGTGTATAGTGTAGTGTATAGCAGTGTATAGTGTAGTGTATAGTGTAATGCATAGTGTAGTGTATAGTGTAATGTATAGTGTAGTGTATAGTATTGTATAGTAGTGTATAGTGTAGTGTATAGTAGTGTATAGTGTAGTGTGTAGTGTAATGTATAGAGTAGTGTATAGTGTAGTGTATAGTGTAGTGTATAGTGTAGTGTATAGTAGTGTGTATAGTGTAGTGTATAGTGTAGTGTATAGTAGTGTGTAGTGTATAGTGTAGTGTATAGTAGTGTGTAGTGTAGTGTATAGTAGTGTATAGTGTAGTGTATAGTGTAGTGTATAGTGTAGTGTATAGTAGTGTGTATAGTGTAGTGTATAGTGTAGTGTATAGAGTAGTGTATAGTGTAGTGTGTAGTGTAGTGTATAGTGTAGCGTATAGTGTAGTGTATAGTAGTGCGTAGTGTAGTGTATAGTGTAGTGTATAGTAGTGTATAGTGTAGTGTATAGTAGTGTATAGTGTAGTGTATAGTGTAGTGTATAGTAGTGTATAGTGTAGTGTATAGTAGTGTATAGTGTAGTGTATAGTAGTGTATAGTGTAGTGTATAGTGTAGTGTATAGTAGTGCATAGTGTAGTGTATAGTGTAGTGTATAGTGTAGTGTATAGTAGTGTATAGTGTAATGTATAAAAGTGTATAGTGTAGTGTATAGTGTAGTGTATAGTGTAATGTATAGTGTAGCGAATAGTAGTATATAGTGTAGTGTATAGTGTAGTGTATAGTAGTGTATAGTTATAGTGTATAGTTATAGTGTAGTGTATAGTGTAGTAGTGTATAGTTGTAGTGTATAGTAGTGTATAGTGTAGTGTATAGTGTAGTGTATAGTAGTGTATAGTGTAGTGTATAGTGTAGTGTATAGTAGTGTATAGTGTAGTGTATAGTGTAGTGTATAGTAGTGTATAGTGTAGTGTATAGTGTAGTGTATAGTGTATTGTATAGCGTAGTGTATAGTGTAGTGTATAGTGTAGCGAATAGTAGTATATAGTGTAGTGTAAAGTGTAGTGTATAGTATAGTGTAGTGTATAATAGTGTATAGTGTAGTGTATAGTGTAGTGTATAGTGTAGTGTATAGTAGTGTGTAGTGTAGTGTATAGTGTAGTGTATAGTAGTGTATAGTGTAATGTATAGTAGTGCGTAGTGTAGTGTATAGTGTAGTGTATAGTAGTGTATAGTGTAGTGTATAGTAGCGTGTAGTGTATAGTGTAGTGTATAGTAGTGTATAGTTATAGTGTATAGTTATAGTGTAGTGTACAGTGTAGTAGTGTATAGTTGTAGTGTATAGTAGTGTATAGTGTAGTGTATAGTGTAGTGTATAGTAGTGTATAGTGTAGTGTATAGTGTAGTGTATAGTAGTGTATAGTGTAGTGTATAGTGTAGTGTATAGTAGTGTATAGTGTAGTGTATAGTGTAGTGTATAGTGTATTGTATAGCGTAGTGTATAGTGTAGTGTATAGTGTAGCGAATAGTAGTATATAGTGTAGTGTAAAGTGTAGTGTATAGTATAGTGTAGTGTATAATAGTGTATAGTGTAGTGTATAGTGTAGTGTATAGTAGTGTGTAGTGTAGTGTATAGTGTAGTGTATAGTGTAGTGTATAGTAGTGTATAATGTATAGTAGTGCGTAGTGTAGTGTATAGTGTAGTGTATAGTAGTGTATAGTGTAGTGTATAGTAGCGTGTAGTGTATAGTGTAGTGTATAGTAGTGTGTAGTGTAGTGTATAGTGTAGTGTATAGTAGTGTATAGTGTAGTGTATAGTAGTGTATAGTGTAGTGTATAGTAGTGTATAGTGTAGTGTATAGTAGTGTATAGTGTAGTGTATGGTGTAGTGTATAGTGTAGTGTATAGTGTAGTGTAGTGTATAGTGTAGTGTATAGTGTAGTGTATAGTAGTGTGTAGTGTAGTGTATAGTGTAGTGTATAGTAGTGTATAGTGTAGTGTATAGTAGTGTAGTGTATAGTGTAGTGTATAGTGTAGTGTATAGTGTAGTGTATAGTGTAGTGTATAGTAGTGTATAGTGTAGTGTATAGTGTAGTGTATAGTGTAGTGTATAGTAGTGTATAGTGTAGTGTATAGTGTAGTGTATAGTAGTGTATAGTGTAGTGTATAGTAGTGTATAGTAGTGTATAGTGTAGTGTATAGTAGTGTATGGTAGTGTATAGTGTAGTGTATAGTGTAGTGTATAGTAGTGTATAGTAGTGTATAGTGTAGTGTATAGTGTAGTGTATAGTAGTGTGTAGTGTAGTGTATAGTGTAGTGTATAGTGTAGTGTATAATAGTGTATAGTGTAGTGTATAATAGTGTATAGTGTAGTGTATAGTGTAGTGTATAGTAGTGTGTAGTGTATAGTGTAGTCTATAGTGTAGTGTATAGTAGTGTATAGTGTAGTGTATAGTGTAGTGTATAGTAGTGTATAGTGTAGTGTATAGTTTAGTGTATAGTAGTGTATAGTGTAGTGTATAGTGTAGTGTATAGTAGTGTGTAGCGTAGTGTATAGTGTAGTGTATAGTGTATAGTGTAGTGTATAGTGTAGTGTATAGTAGTGTGTAGTGTATAGTGTAGTGTATACTAGTGTATAGTGTAGTGTATAGTGTAGTGTATAGTGTAGTATATAGTAGTGTGTAGTGTAGTGTATAGTAGTGTATAATAGTATATAGTAGTGTATAGTGTAGTGAATAGTGTATAGTGTAGTGTATAGTGTAGTGTATAGTGTAGTGTATAGTGTAGTGTATAGTGTAGTGTAAAGTGTAGTGTATAGTGTAGTGTATAGTAGTATGTAGTGTAGTGTATAGTAGTGTATAATAGTATATAGTAGTGTATAGTGTAGTGTATAGTGTAGTGTATAGTGTAGTGTGTAGTGTATAGTGTAGTGTATAGTAGTGTGTAGTGTAGTGTATAGTGTAGTTTATAGTATAGTGTATAGTAGTGTATAGTAGTGTATAGTGTAGTGTATAGTGTAGTGTATAGTGTAGTGTATAGTAGTGTGTAGTGTAGTGTATAGTGTAGTGTATAGTAGTGTGTAGCGTAGTGTATAGTGTAGTGTATAATAGTATATAATAGTGTATAGTAGTGTATAGTGTAGTGTATAGTGTAGTGTATAGTGTAGTGTATAGTAGTGTATAGTGTAGTGTATAGTGTAGTGTATAGTGTAGTGTATAGTGTATAGTGTAGTGTATAGTGTAGTGTGTAGTGTATAGTGTAGTGTATAGTGTAGTGTATAGTGTAGTGTATAGTAGTGTGTAGTGTAGTGTATAGTATAGTGTATAGTGTAGTGTATAGTGTAGTGTATAGTAGTGTGTAGTGTATAGTGTAGAGTATAGTAGTGTGTAGTGTAGTGTATAGTGTAGTGTATAGTATAGTGTATAGTGTAGTGTATAGTCGTGTGTAGCGTAGTTCGAATGCATGCTCAGTAGGCGAGCTCGTGGGAGAAGTCCGTCCGGGTCACCCCGCGCGGTGCACGTCCACTCTTCGCCCCGCCCCCGACCTTTGCCCCGCCCCTTGCCCCGCCTCCCGCTCCGCTCTCAGCCCCGCCCCGCCCCCGCATTAACCAACGGAAGAAGTCGCCAGACGGTGACGCACGTCCGCTTGTCTGCAGCAACGCGCGCCGATTGGTCGGCGCCGCCGTCGCCTGCGCGCCGCGCGTGCCCCCGGCAGTTGGCGGGAGAATTTATTTTATTCCCCCCCCCCACAGCCACAACCCCGCCCTCAACCACGCCCCCAACCCTCAGCCCCGCCCCCAGCCCAACCCTCAACCACGCCCCCCATCCTCAGCCCCGCCCCATCCGAAGCGGCGTTGTTGGTGAGGGGGAGGTTGGTCGCGAAACGTCGGCGCCGGCTGCGGAGTTCCACCACGCAAGGGCAGCCTCGGCCTTGGGTGAGGAGGCGGAGACACGGGGAGACAGCCAGAGACACGGGGAGACAGCCAGAGACACGGGGATACAGCCAGAGACACGGGGAGACAGCCAGAGAGACGGGGAGACAGCCAGAGACACGGGGAGACAGAGAGAGACACGGGGAGACAGCCAGAGACACGGGGAGACAGCCAGAGACACGGGGAGACAGAGAGAGACACGGGGAGACAGCCAGAGACACGGGGATACAGAGAGAGACACGGGGATACAGAGAGAGACACGGAGAGACAGCCAGAGACACGGGGAGACAGAGAGAGACACGGGGAGACAGAGAGAGACACGGGGAGACAGCCAGAGACACGGGGAGACAGCCAGAGACATGGGGAGACAGAGAGAGAGACACGGGGAGACAGAGAGAGACACGGGGAGACAGCCAGAGACACGGGGATACAGAGAGAGACACGGGGAGACAGAGAGAGACACGGGGAGACAGAGAGAGAGACACGGGGAGACAGAGAGAGACACGGAGAGACAGCCAGAGACACGGGGATACAGAGAGAGACACGGGGAGACAGAGAGAGACACGGGGAGACACGGGGGGACATGGGGAGACAGCCAGAGACACGGGGAGACAGACAGAGACACGGGGAGACAGAGAGAGACACGGGGAGACAGAGAGAGACACGGGGATACAGAGAGAGACACGGGGAGACAGCCAGAGACACGGGGAGACAGAGAGAGACACGGGGATACAGAGAGAGACACGGAGAGACAGCCAGAGACACGGGGAGACAGCCAGAGACACGGGGAGACAGAGAGAGACACGGGGAGACAGACAGAGACACGGGGAGACAGAGAGAGACACGGGGATACAGAGAGAGACACGGAGAGACAGCCAGAGACACGGGGATACAGAGAGACACGGGGAGACAGCCAGAGACACGGGGAGACAGCCAGAGACACGGGGAGACAGAGAGACACGGGGAGACAGCCAGAGACACGGGGAGACAGCCAGAGACACGGGGATACAGAGAGAGACACGGAGAGACAGCCAGAGACACGGGGAGACAGCCAGAGACACGGGGAGACAGAGAGACACGGGGATACAGAGAGACACGGGGAGACAGCCAGAGACACGGGGAGACAGCCAGAGACACGAGGATACAGAGAGAGACACGGGGAGACAGCCAGAGACACGGGGAGACAGCCAGAGACACGGGGAGACAGCCAGAGACACGGGGAGACAGAGAGAGACACGGGGAGACAGCCAGAGACACGGGGAGACAGCCAGAGACACGGGGAGACAGACAGAGACACGGGGAGACAGCCAGAGACACGGGGATACAGAGAGAGACACGGGGAGACAGCCAGAGACACGGGGATACAGAGAGAGACACGGGGATACAGAGAGAGACACGGGGAGACAGCCAGAGACACGGGGAGACAGAGAGAGACACGGGGAGACAGCCAGAGACACGGGGAGACAGCCAGAGACACGGGGAGACAGACAGAGACACGGGGAGACAGCCAGAGACACGGGGATACAGAGAGAGACACGGGGAGACAGCCAGAGACACGGGGATACAGAGAGAGACACGGGGATACAGAGAGAGACACGGGGAGACAGCCAGAGACACGGGGATACAGAGAGAGACACGGGGAGACAGCCAGAGACACGGGGATACAGAGAGAGACACGGGGAGACAGACAGAGACACGGGGAGACACGGGGGGACATGGGGAGACAGCCAGAGACACGGGGAGACAGCCAGAGACACGGGGAGACAGAGAGAGACACGGGGAGACAGCCAGAGACACGGGGATACAGAGAGAGACACGGGGAGACAGACAGAGACACGGGGAGACACGGGGGGACATGGGGAGACAGCCAGAGACACGGGGAGACAGCCAGAGACACGGGGATACAGAGAGAGACACGGGGAGACAGCCAGAGACACGGGGATACAGACAGAGACACGGGGAGACAGACAGAGACACGGGGAGACACGGGGGGACATGGGGAGACAGCCAGAGACACGGGGAGACAGCCAGAGACACGGGGATACAGAGAGAGACACGGGGAGACAGCCAGAGACACGGGGAGACAGCCAGAGACACGGGGAGACAGCCAGAGACACGGGGAGACAGCCAGAGACACGGGGAGACAGCCAGAGACACGGGGATACAGAGAGAGACACGGGGAGACAGCCAGAGACACGGGGATACAGAGAGACACGGGGAGACAGCCAGAGACACGGGGATACAGAGAGACACGGGGAGACAGCCAGAGACACGGGGAGACAGCCAGAGACACGGGGAGACAGAGAGAGACACGGGGAGACACGGGGGGACATGGGGAGACAGCCAGAGACACGGGGATACAGAGAGAGACACGGGGAGACAGCCAGAGACACGGGGAGACAGAGAGAGACACGGAGAGACAGCCAGAGACACGGGGGGACAGACAGAGACACGGGAAGACAGAGACACGAGGACAGACAGAGACACGGGGAGACAGCCAGAGACACGGGGGGACATGGGGAGACAGCCAGAGACACGGGGGGACATGGGGAGACACGGGGGGACATGGGGAGACAGCCAGAGACACGGGGAGACAGAGAGAGACACGGAGAGACAGCCAGAGACACGCGGGGACACGGGGGGACATGGGGAGACAGCCAGAGACACGGGGAGACAGAGAGAGACACGGGGAGACAGCCAGAGACACGTGGGGACAGACAGAGACACGGGGAGACAGCCAGAGACACGCCGGGACAGACAGAGACACAGGGAGACAGAGACACGGGGAGACACGGGGAGACAGAGAGAGACACGGGGGGGAGACAGCCAGAGACACGGTGAGACAGACAGAGACACGGGGAGACAGACAGAGACACGGGGAGATAGACAGAGACACGGGGAGACAGACAGAGACACGGGGGGACATGGGGAGACAGATAGAGACACGGCGGGACATGGGGAGACAGAGACACGGGGAGACACGGGGGGCAGACGGGGAGACAGACAGAGACACGGGGAGACAGCCAGAGACACGGGGAGACAGACAGAGACACGGGGAGACAGATAGAGACACGCGGGGACAGAGACACGGGGAGACAGCCAGAGACACGGGGAGACAGATAGAGACACGGGGAGACAGACGGGGAGACAGAGACACGCGGGGACACACAAAGACACGTGGAGACAGACAGAGACACGGGGAGACACGGGGGGGAGACGGGGAGACAGAGACACGGGGAGACAGCCAGAGACACGGGGGGCATGGGGAGACAGAGACACGGGGAGACAGACAGAGACACGGGGGGACACGGGGGAGACAGAGACACAGAGACACGGGGAGACACAGAGAGACACATAGAGACACAGGAAGACACAGAGAGACACGGGGAGACATAGACACAGAGAGACACGGGGAGACAGACACACAGAGAGACACGGGGAGACACACAGAGAGACACGGGGAGACACAGAGAGAGACACGGGGAGACAGAGAGAGACACAGGGAGACACAGAGAGACACGGGGAGACAGAGACACAGAGAGACACGGGGAGACACGGGGAGACAGAGACACAGAGAGACACGGGGAGACACAGAGAGACACGGGGAGACAGAGACACAGGGAGAGACACGGGGAGACACAGACAGAGACACGGGGAGACAGAGAGAGACACAGGGAGACACAGAGAGACACGGGGAGACAGAGACACAGAGAGACACGGGGAGACACACAGAGAGACACGGGGAGGCACACGGAGAGACACGGGGAGACACAGTGAGACACGGGGAGACACACGGAGAGACACGGGGAGACAGACAGAGACACGGGGGGACATGGGGAGACAGATAGAGACACGGGGGGACATGGGGAGACAGAGACACGGGGAGACACGGGGGGGAGACGGAGAGAAAGCCAGAGACACTGGGAGACAGACAGAGACACGGGGAGACACGGGGAGACAGATAGAGACACGCGGGGACAGAGACACGGGGAGACAGCCAGAGACACGGGGAGACAGATAGAGACACGGGGAGACAGACAGGGACACGGGGAGACAGAGACACGCGGGGACACACAAAGACACGGGGAGACAGACAGAGACACGGGGAGACACGGGGGGGAGACGGGGAGACAGAGACACGGGGAGACAGCCAGAGACACGGGGGGACACGGGGGAGACAGAGACACAGAGACACGGGGAGACACAGAGAGACACATAGAGACACAGGAAGACACAGAGAGACACAGGGACACAGAGACACGGGGAGACAGACACACAGAGAGACACGGGGAGACACACAGAGAGACACGGGGAGACACAGAGAGAGACACGGGGAGACAGAGAGAGACACAGGGAGACACAGAGAGACACGGGGAGACAGAGACACAGAGAGACACGGGGAGACACACGGAGAGACACGCGCTGATAGGAGCTCACTAACAACAGCACTTGCCCCAAAAGTCTGTTCAGGCTATCCAGGGGGGTCGGGGGATCTTTGTCTCTCTTGCGTGTGCCCTTAACAGGAGCTCGCTGACATCAGCAGGGACTGGAAGCCCGGAGGGACCTCACTGGCTCTTCGCGATGAGCGGTGCGAGGAGTCAGAGAGCCAGAGAGACAGAACACCTCTCGCACCGGCTCCTTTTCCACTGGCACATGTGACCCGAGCCAGCTTGGCACTGATGCCCCCTCCCCCCCCCTGGAGTTTCTCGCTTTGGACGCGAACTCGCACTTGCATCACAAACACACTCACACTCAGTCAGCCACACATTCACACACACACACAGTTAGCCACACACTTACACACTCACACACAACAACAACAACAACCGCCATTCGCCACTAAGTGGCGGTGACGTCACCACGACGCTTGTGCCAGGCTATGTGCACCCTGAGGCCACGTGAAGTGTCGAACGCCCGCTGGCAGGAGGTCACGGGGCAGACCCAGGTGCCACGGGTCGACTGACTGAGACGACTGGCTGATGCACCACCCGTGCCCCTTACTGTGCCAACCTGCTGTGCTTTAGCCACCCGGCGCTCCGCTCGTTGTTGTGAGCGTCGCTCCTCCGCCCTCCGTTGTTGTTGGAGGGCGACTACCTCCAACTGCCCAGTAGCATCCTTCACGAGCCTCCTCCACAGAGGCCGATCTTGACACTGCTGGTACCAGTCATCGGCAAGTCCACTCAGCTCCACGTCCTCCTGTACCACATCACTCCATCTCTTCTCTAGCCCGTGCCGCGCCCGCTTAGCCCCCTCGATCCAGCCGAACAAAAGCTGTTTCGGCATGCGGTGGCTGGGCATGCGGGCTACATGACCCAGCCATCGCAGCCTTGGCCGCCGGAGGAGCTCACCGATGGGACCTTGCCCAGATCTTTCAAGGATTTGTGAGCTCCTCACACAATCCAGTCTGGTTAAACCCAGGATGGATCGTAGGCAGGCCAGCCTAAATGTTTCTAACCAGCGAAGATGTTCCATTAGGGGGGTCCACGTTTCGCAAGCGTAGAGAAGGGAGGGAATGACCGTGGCCTAGAAGACCTGAAGCTTAGTGCGGAGCGACAGTCCAGGTAGCTTCCACACAGCGTTATGCAACCGATGAAAAGATATTGCCGCTCGACTGATTCGGAGTGAGACCTCTGCTGTTAAACTGGAGCCAGTCATAAGCACACTGCCCAGGTATGGGAAACTCTCCACTCTCTCCACAACTGCCCCATCACCGATTGGGAGTTGTGGGGGTGGAGTGTCCGATGGTACAAAATACCCAGGCAGGTGCTTAGTTTTGGTGGGGCTGATGGTAAGGCCCCACCTCTTAGTGGCACGCTCCAGTCTCAGCAGCAGCGTCTCCAACTCCTCCTCTGACTGAGCAGCTATTACCAAATCATCAGCATACATAACGTGGTTGAGCAATAGGGAGCCATCCCTTGACCGCACCCGGGCATTGATCAGCCTCCCACTCACACACACACTCACTCACACACACTCACACACACACTCACCCACACACACACCCACACACTCAGCCACACACACTCAGTCAGCCACACACTCACACACACACTCACATACTCACCCACACACACACACTCAATCACCCACACACTCACCCACACACTCAGTCAGCCACACACTCAGCCACACACCCAGACACTCACCCACACACTCACCCACACACACACTCACCCACCCACTCACCCACACACTCACCCACTCACCCACACACTCACCCACACACTCGTTCACGTGCTCATCCATTCCCGTGTCTCCTGGGTTCCAGGTGCAGAGCAGCAGGGAGAAAGGAGGCACGGAGTGGGAGAGGAGGAGGAGGAGGAGCCACAGAGAGGGGAGGATCAGGGTGAGTGTGAGTCACACTCACCCACACACTCACCCACGCACTCACCCACGCACTCACCCACCCACTCACCCACCCACTCACCCACACACTCACCCACACACTCACCCACACACTCACCCACCCACTCACCCACACACTCACCCACCCACTCACCCACTCACTCACCCACACACTCACCCACACACTTACCCACACACTCACCCACACACTCACCCACACACTCACCCACACATTCACCCACGCACTCACCCACGCACTCACCCACGCACTCACCCACACACTCACCCACACACTCACACTCACCCACACACTCACCCACACACTCACCCACGCACTCACGCACGCACTTACCCACACACTCACCCACACACTCACCCATCCATCCACTCACCCACCCACACACTCACCCACACACTCACCCACGCACTCACCCACGCACTTACCCACACACTCACCCACACACTCACCCATCCATCCACTCACCCACCCACGCACTCACCCACGCACTCACCCACCCACTCACCCACCCACTCACCCACCCATCCATCCATCCACGCACTCACCCACCCACTCACCCACACACTCACCCACTCACCCACACACTCACCCATCCATCCACTCACTCACCCACCCACACACTCACCCACGCACTCACCCACGCACTCACCCACACACTCACCCACACACTCACCCATCCATCCACTCACCCACCCACACACTCACCCACACACTCACCCACGCACTCACCCACGCACTTACCCACACACTCACCCACACACTCACCCATCCATCCACTCACCCACCCACACACTCAGCCACACACTCACCCACGCACTCACCCACGCACTCACCCACCCACTCACCCACCCACTCACCCACCCATCCATCCACTCACTCACCCACCCACTCACCCACACACTCACCCACTCACCCACACACTCACCCATCCATCCACTCACTCACCCACCCACGCACTCACCCACGCACTCACCCACGCACTCACCCACCCACTCACCCACCCATCCATCCACTCACTCACCCATCCATCCACTCACTCACCCACCCATCCATCCACTCACTCACTCACCCACTCACCCACACACTCACCCACGCACTCACCCACGCACTCACCCACTCATCCACCCACTCACCCATCCACCCACTCAGCCACCCACTCGCTCACCCACACACTCATCCGTGCACTGTGTGTGTGGTGTGTGTGTGTGTGTGTGGTGTTTGTGTGTGTGGTGTGTGTGTGTGTGGTGTGTGTGGTGTGTGTGTGGTGTGTGTGTGGTATGTGTGGTGTGTGTGTGTCACTGTGTGTGTGTCACTGTGTGTGGGTGTCACTGTGCGTGTGTGTCATTGTGTGGTGTGTGTGTGTCACTGTGTGTGTGTATCACTGCGTGTATGTGTCATTGTGTGTCACTGTGTGTGTGTCACTGTGTGTATGTGTCACTGTGTGTGTCACTGTGTGTGTCACTGTGTGTGTCACTGTGTGTATGTGTCACTGTGTGCGTCACTGTGTGTGTCAGTGTGTGTGTGTGTGTCACTGTGTGTATGTGTCACTGTGTGTGTCACTGTGCGGTGCCGGATGGGCAACTCTGTCGTGGGAGGAGGTCCAATTTTGATTGGCTCCTCCCCTCATGACATATGTGTCCACCACAGGGGCTAAACGGGGGTTCTGGATGGGTGCGAGGGGCTGGTAACCCCTCCACCTTCAATTAATTACCACTAAACCACGAGTTAAACTGAAATATGTAACTAATTAGCTTGTGCCGGAGGCCCCCGGGGGGCCAGGCGTCTATGACGTCTCCTGGCCAAACCCCAATTGGCGGAGCCAGGAGATTGAATATCTACCCTCGGGGCTCCTCCAGAAACAACGAAAAGCCACTACGGGTGGCCACGTGGAATGTTCGAACGCTCACTGCGAAGGAGAGGCTGCCACTCCTCTGTCGGGAGCTGGACCGGTACCGCCTGGATCTATGTGGCATTCAGGAGGTCCGGTGGACCGGCTCTGGCTCTTGCCACCATGAGGGGTGGACAGTCCTCTACTCGGGGCAGCAGACTGCCAAACAACAGGGTGTGGCTCTTCTTTTGAACAAAATAATGAAGGGGGCATGGGAGCGTGGCGGTGAGGTGTGGGAAGCTGTAAGCCCCAGGCTACTTTGGGCTCGCCTTCCCATCAACCGGAGGCGAGGAATGGTGGTCGTGGTTACTTATGCCCCCACCGAAGATGAACATCCGTGGAGGGATGCAGGCAAAGCCGATGAGTCAGATGCCTTCTATGACCTCCTGTCACAGGTGCTGGCTAAAGTGGCCCCTCGGGATAGAGTCATCATGTTGGGTGACTTCAATGCCCGAGTTGGTCATGATACTGGCACCTGGTCTGGAGTGATTGGAGGGCATGGGCCAGATCAGCTCAATAACAACGGTAGGAGACTGCTAGATTTTTGTGCAGCCCATGGGCTTGTAATTACCAACACGCTGTTCTGGCATCGGCGCATCCACACAACATCATGGATGCATGCCGGGTCCAAGCAAGAACATCTGCTGGACTACATAGTGACGGACCAGCGGATGCGAGCCCATGTCCTTGACACCAGGACCTGCCGTGGAGCTGATCTGCCCTCTGACCATCGACTAGTCATCTGTAAGATGCGCCTGCCATTCTTCCACTCCGGTGGTGGGTGTACACCCAGGACCCCATTCCAACCTAAAGTGGCCTGGTCTCAGTTATCTGATGAAAGTTGCAAGCGAGAATTTCATCATCGCTTGCGGCTGGGATTGGCATCGTCCCCGACTCCTCCTGATGTCGAGGGTAAATGGGCGAGGTTTAGGGCTCTGACTCATGCAGCTGCAATGGCTGCTTTGGGTACACGGTCCAGACCTCCCCAGAGACCCTGGCTGACAGAGGAGGTGTTCAGGATGGTTGAGAAAAAGCGACAGGCCCACTGTCATCGGCTACAGAATCCCACGTCAGAGAATGAGGAGGCTTACCGCAGCCTTCGCTCGGAGGTTCGGAGAGCCGTGAGGCGCTGCAAGGATGGGTGGTGGTCGTGGGTTGCTGAGGAGATGGAGTCTGCCTCAGTGGCCCGTGATCACAAATCTCTATTTAACTCCATCAAAAAAGTAACCTGCAGCGCCACACTTATTACCATAATCAGGGGAAAAAACGGTGATCCAATCTCCGACCCCCAGGAACAGGTTTGCAGATTTGCTGAGCATTTCTGTGAGGTCCTGGGGGAGGGAAAATCCTTCAGCCAGGAAAATATCATGGCACAAAGTGAGGATGACCCTCCTGAGGCTGCGGTGCCTCAAATATTGGAAGAAGTCACCCCCTGTGAGTGGCTGGCTGAGGTGCCATCTGTTGAGGAAGTACTGAAGGCGATCCGGAGTCTGAGACCAGGAAAGGCAGCGGGCAGAGATGATCTCCCAAGCGAAATGCTGAGGGAGGGTGGCGTTTGTGCACAGACTGCCCTATATGACATGATAACAATGGTCTGGACCACTGGACGGGTTCCGCAGGATTGGAAGGATGCCCTGGTGGTCCCCCTTTTTAAGAAGGGGGACCGCACAGACTGTAACAACTTCAGGGACATCTCACTCCTCAGTGTGCCGGGAAAGGTCCTGGCAAGGATTATTCAGCATCGTCTTGCCAGGCACGCTGAGGAGAGGCTTGCGGAGCCCCAATGCGGTTTCAGGAAAGGGCGGTCCTGCACAGATGCCATATTTTCTGTCCGTCTGCTACAGCAGAGGTGTAGGGAATTCCAACAAGACCTACATCTCTGCTTTATTGACCTGGTCAAGGCCTATGATACCATCAGTAGGCCTGGGCTCTGGGTTGTTCTTCGTGCTTTTGGAGTACCTGACCCTCTGCTCACGATCATTAAGGACCTTCATGATGGTGAGCGGGCCCAGGTAAAACTACGTGGCTGGGAGTCAGAGCCATTCCCTGTACACCTTGGGGTGCGACAGGGATGTCCTCTGGCTCCCACATTATTTAACATCTATTTTGACCACGTAGTTCGTGAAGCTTTCAATAGTTGTACTGGGGGAATCTCCATACGGTACAGATATAATGGGAGGCTGATCGATGCCCGGGTGCGGTCAAGGAATGGCTCCCTATTGCTCAACCACGTTATGTATGCTGATGATTTGGTAATAGCTGCTCATTCAGACGAGGAGTTGGAGACGCTGCTGCTGAGACTGGAGCGTGCCACTAAGAGGTGGGGCCTTACCATCAGCCCCACCAAAACTAAGCACCTGCCTGGGTATTTTGTACCATCGGACACTCCACCCCCACAACTCCCAATCGGTGATGGGGCAGTTGTGGAGAGAGTGGAGAGTTTCCCATACCTGGGCAGTGTGCTTATGACTGGCTCCAGTTTAACAAGCAGGGGTCTCACTCCGAATCAGTCGAGTGGCAATATCTTTTCATCGGTTGCGTAACGCTGTGTGGAAGCTACCTGGTCTGTCGCTCCGCACTAAACTTCAGGTCTTCTCGGCCACGGTCATTCCTCCCTTCTCTACGCTTGCGAAACGTGGACCCCCCTAATGGAACATCTTCGCCGGTTAGAAACATTTAGGCTGGCCTGCCTACGATCCATCCTGTGTTTAACCAGACTGGATTGTGTGAGGACCTCACAAATCCTTGAAAGATCTGGGCAAGGTCCCATCGGTGAGCTCCTCCGGCGGGGAAGGCTGCGATGGCTGGGTCATGTAGCCCGCATGCCCAGCCACCGCATGCCGAAACAGCTTTTGTTCGGCCGGATTGAGGGGGCTAAGTGGGCGCGGCACGGGCTAGAGAAGAGATGGAGTGATGTGGTACAGGAGGACGTGGAGCTGAGTGGACTTGCCGATGACTGGTACCAGCGGTTTCAAGATCGGCCTCTGTGGAGGAGGCTCGTGAAGGACGCTACTGGGCAGTTGGAGGTAGTCGCCCTCCAACAACAACGGAGGGCGGAGGAGTGACGCTCAGAACAACGAGTGGAGCGCCGGGTGGCTAAAGCACAGCAGGTTGGCACAGTAGGGGGCACAGGTGGTGCATCAGCCAGTCATCTCAGTCAGTCGACCCGTGGCACCTGGGTCTGCCCCGTGACCTGCCAGCGGGCGTTCGACACTTCACGTGGCCTCAGGGTGCACATAGCCTGGCACAAGCGTCGTGGTGACGTCACCGCCACTTAGTGACGAATGGCGGTTGTTGTTGTTGTGTCACTATGTGTGTTGTGTGTCACTGTGTGTGGGGAGCAGTAGTGTAGCGGTTAGCGCGCTCCACTATGAACCTGGCGACCCGGGTTCAATTCCCGCTCACGGTCAACACCAGTGACGATTATCTGAACCGGTCCCGGGCCTCCCCTAGGTCGACTCAGCCTCAAATGAGTACCTGGTGCGGTATGTAAACATTGCCACTAGGGAGACAAAGGCGGTCGGGCGTGGTGCTGGCCACCCACCCCCTCGTGTACCGTTCCGGCCTTCATAGGTGCTCGCTAACAGCACTTGCCCCTACAGTCTGTTAAGGCTATATGGGGGATCTTTTGTATGTGTCACTGTGTGTGTGTGTGTGTCACTGTGTGTGTGTCACTGTGTGTGTGTGTGTCACTGTGTGTGTGTGTTACTGTGTGTGTCAGTGTGTGTGTGTGTCACTGTGTGTCACTGTGTGTGTGTGTCACTGTGTGTGTGTGTGTCACTGTGTGTGTGGTGTGTCACTGTGTGTGTGTGTCACTGTGTGTGTGTGTGTCACTGTCTGTGTGTCACTATGTGTGTGTGTGTCACTGTGTGTGTGTCACTATGTGTGTGTGTGTCACTATGTGTGTGTGTGTCATTGTGTGTCTGTCTCACTGTGTGTGTGTGTCACTATGTGTGTGTGTCACTGTGTGTGTGTGTCGCTGTGTGTGTGTGTCACTATGTGTGTGTGTGTGTCACTATGTGTGTCACTGTGTGTGTCACTGTGTGTCACTGTGTGTGTGTGTCACTGTGTGTGTGTGTCACTGTGTGTGTGTGTCACTGTGTGTGTGTGTCACTGTGTGTGTCACTGTGTGTGTGTGTGTGTCACTGTGTGTGTGTGTCACTATGTGTGTGGTGTGTCACTGTGTGTGTGTGTGTGTGTCACTGTGTGTGTGTCACTATGTGTGTGTGTGTGTCACTGTGTGTGTCACTGTGTGTGTCACTGTGTGTCACTGTGTGTGTCACTGTGTGTGTGGTGTGTCACTGTGTGTGTGTCACTGTGTGTGTGTGTCACTGTGTGTGTGTGTCACTGTGTGTGTGTGTCACTGTGTGTGTGTGTGTCACTGTGTGTGTGTGTGTCACTGTGTGTGTCACTGTGTGTGTCACTGTGTGTGTGTGTCACTGTGTGTGTGTCACTGTGTGTGTGTCACTGTGTGTGTCACTGTGTGTGTCACTGTGTGTGTCACTTTGTGTGTGTGTGTCACTGTGTGTGTGTGTCACTGTGTGTGTGTGTCACTGTGTGTGTGTGTGTCACTGTGTGTGTGTGTCACTGTGTGTGTGTGTGTCACTGTGTGTGTGTGTGTCACTGTGTGTGTGGTGTGTCACTGTGTGTGTGTGTCACTGTGTGTGTGTGTGTCACTGTGTGTGTGTGTCACTGTGTGTGTGTGTCACTGTGTGTGTGTCACTGTGTGTGTGTGTCACTGTGTGTGTGTGTCACTGTGTGTGTGTGTCACTGTGTGTGTGTGTCACTGTGTGTGTGGTGTGTCACTGTGTGTGTGGTGTGTCACTGTGTGTGTGTCACTGTGTGTGTGGTGTGTCACTGTGTGTGTGTGTCACTGTGTGTGTGTGTGTGTCACTGTGTGTGGTGTGTCACTGTGTGTGTGTGTCACTGTGTGTGGTGTGTCACTGTGTGTGTCACTGTGTGTGTCACTGTGTGTGTCACTGTGTGTGTGTGTCACTGTGTGTGTCACTGTGTGTGTGTGTCACTGTGTGTGTGTGTCACTGTGTGTGTCACTGTGTGTGTGTGTCACTGTGTGTGTCACTGTGTGTGTGTCACTGTGTGTGTCACTGTGTGTGTCACTGTGTGTGTGTGGTGTGTCACTGTGTGTGTGGTGTGTCACTGTGTGTGTGTCACTGTGTGTGTGTCACTGTGTGTGTCACTGTGTGTGTCACTGTGTGTGTGTCACTGTGTGTGTCACTGTGTGTGTCACTGTGTGTGTGGTGTGTCACTGTGTGTGTGTGTGTCACTGTGTGTGTCACTGTGTGTGTCACTGTGTGTGTGTGTGTCACTGTGTGTGTGTGTGTGGTGTGTCACTGTGTGTGTGTGTCACTGTGTGTGTGTGTGTCACTGTGTGTGTGTGTCACTGTGTGTGTGTCACTGTGTGTGTCACTGTGTGTGTCACTGTGTGTGTGTCACTGTGTGTGTCACTGTGTGTGTCACTGTGTGTGTGTGTGGTGTGTCACTGTGTGTGTGTGTGTCACTGTGTGTGTCACTGTGTGTGTCACTGTGTGTGTGTGTGTCACTGTGTGTGTGTGTGTGGTGTGTCACTGTGTGTGTGTGTCACTGTGTGTGTGTGTGTCACTGTGTGTGTGTGTCACTGTGTGTGTGTGTGTCACTGTGTGTGTGGTGTGTCACTGTGTGTGTGTGTCACTGTGTGTGTGTGTCACTGTGTGTGTGTGTCACTGTGTGTGTGTGTCACTGTGTGTGTGTCACTGTGTGTGTGTGTCACTGTGTGTGTGTGTCACTGTGTGTGTGTGTCACTGTGTGTGTGGTGTGTCACTGTGTGTGTGGTGTGTCACTGTGTGTGTGTCACTGTGTGTGTGGTGTGTCACTGTGTGTGTGTGTCACTGTGTGTGTGTGTGTGTCACTGTGTGTGGTGTGTCACTGTGTGTGTGTGTCACTGTGTGTGGTGTGTCACTGTGTGTGTCACTGTGTGTGTCACTGTGTGTGTCACTGTGTGTGTCACTGTGTGTGTCACTGTGTGTGTGTGTCACTGTGTGTGTGTGTCACTGTGTGTGTCACTGTGTGTGTGTGTCACTGTGTGTGTCACTGTGTGTGTGTCACTGTGTGTGTCACTGTGTGTGTCACTGTGTGTGTGTGGTGTGTCACTGTGTGTGTGGTGTGTCACTGTGTGTGTGTCACTGTGTGTGTCACTGTGTGTGTGTCACTGTGTGTGTCACTGTGTGTGTGGTGTGTCACTGTGTGTGTGTGTGTCACTGTGTGTGTCACTGTGTGTGTCACTGTGTGTGTGTGGAGTGTCACTGTGTGTGTGTGTGTGGAGTGTCACTGTGTGTGTGTGGAGTGTCACTGTGTGTGTGTGGAGTGTCACTGTGTGTGTGTGTCACTGTGTGTGTGTCACTGTGTGTGTCACTGTGTGTGTCACTGTGTGTGTGTCACTGTGTGTGTCACTGTGTGTGTCACTGTGTGTGTGTGTGGTGTGTCACTGTGTGTGTGTGTGTCACTGTGTGTGTCACTGTGTGTGTCACTGTGTGTGTGTGTGTCACTGTGTGTGTGTGTGTGGTGTGTCACTGTGTGTGTGTGTCACTGTGTGTGTGTGTCACTGTGTGTGTGTGTGTCACTGTGTGTGTGTGTGTGGTGTGTCACTGTGTGTGTGTGTGTGGAGTGTCACTGTGTGTGTGTGTGGTGTGTCACTGTGTGTGTGTGTCACTGTGTGTGTGTGTGGAGTGTCACTGTGTGTGTGTGTCACTGTGTGTGTCACTGTGTGTGTGTGTCACTGTGTGTGTGTGTGTCCCATCTTCTGCTGGTCCAGGAGAAACGGAGAGAGATTCCGAGAATGCGGTAGTGGACACGATAGCGGAAGATTATGATGACGACGATGACGACGATGATGACGACGATGACGACGATGACGACGATGATGACGAAGAAGAAGGTGGTGGCGCTGCTGATGATGTTGACGATGACGACGATGACGTCATAGAGGAGGTGAGCGACGATGCGGGATCACGGCTCCTCCAAGCTGCGGCAGCCGGCCGGGTGAGAGGCCCACCAACCCCCCCACCACCACCACCACCCCCCCACCATCCACCCACCACCACCACCACCCCCCCACCACCACCACCACCCCCCCACCACCCCCCCACTATCCACCCACCACCACCACCCCCCCACCCTCCACCCACCACCACCACCACCCCCCCACCACCACCACCAACCCCCCCACCACCACCAACCCCCCCACCACCACCACCGCCCCCCCACCAACCCCCCCCCACCACCACCACCACCCCCCCACCCACCCCCCCACCACCACCACCACCCCCCCACCACCACCACCACCACCCCCCCACCACCCCCCCCCACCACCACCACCCCCCCACCATCCACCCACCACCACCACCCCCCCACCATCCACCCACCACCACCACCACCCCCCCACCAACCCCCCACCACCACCACCACCCCCCCACCATCCACCACCACCACCACCCCCCCACCCTCCACCCACCACCACCACCCCCCCACCCTCCACCCACCACCACCACCCCCCCACCACCACCCCCCCACCCTCCACCCACCACCCCCCCACCCTTCACCCACCACCACCACCCCCCCACCCTCCACCCACCACCACCCCCCACCACCACCCCCCCACCACCACCACCACCCCCCCACCATCCACCCACCACCACCACCACCCCCCCACCACCACCACCACCCCCCCACCACCCCCCCACTATCCACCCACCACCACCACCCCCCCACCCTCCACCCACCACCACCACCACCCCCCCACCACCACCACCAACCCCCCCACCACCACCAACCCCCCCACCACCACCACCGCCCCCCCACCAACCCCCCCACCACCACCACCGCCCCCCCACCAACCCCCCACCACCACCACCACCCCCCACCACCACCACCCCCCCACCACCCCCCCACCACCACCACCACCCCCCCACCATCCACCCACCACCACCCCCCCCCCACCATCCACCCACCACCACCACCACCCCCCCACCAACCCCCCCACCACCACCACCACCCCCCCACCATCCACCACCACCACCACCCCCCCACCCTCCACCCACCACCACCACCCCCCCACCCTCCACCCACCACCACCACCCCCCCACCACCACCCCCCCACCCTCCACCCACCACCCTTCACCCACCACCACCACCCCCCCACCCTCCACCCACCACCACCCCCCACCACCACCCCCCCACCACCACCCCCCCACCATCCACCACCACCCCCCCACCACCACCACCCCCCCCACCACCACCACCACCCCCCCACCATCCACCACCACCCCCCACGATCCACCCACCACCACCACCCCCCCACCCTCCACCCACCACCACCACCAACCCCCCACCACCACCACCACCAACCCCCCCACCACCACCACACCCCCCCACCCTCCACCCACCACCACCACCCCTCCACCCACCACCACCACCCCCCCACCCTCCACCCACCACCACCACCCCCCGACCCTCCACCCACCACCACCACCCCCCCACCCTCCACCCACCACCAACCCCCCACCACCACCACCACCCCCCACCATCCACCCACCACCACCACCCCCCCACCCTCCACCCACCACCCCCCACCACCACCCTCCACCCACCACCACCCCCCCACCACCACCCCCCCACCCTCCACCCACCACCACCCCCCCACCACCACCCCTCCACCCACCACCACCCCCCCACCACCACCCCCCCACCCTCCACCCACCACCCCCCCACCCTTCACCCACCACCACCACCCCCCCACCCTCCACCCACCACCCCACCCTCCACCCACCACCCCCCCACCCTCCACCCACCACCACCACTCCCCCACCCTTCACCCTCCACCCACCACCACCACTCCCCCACCCTTCACCCACCACCACCACCCCCCCACCCTCCACCCACCACCACCCCTCCACCCTCCATCCACCACCCCCCCACCCTCCACCCACCACCACCACCCCCCCACCCTCCACCCACCACCACCAACCCACCACCACCACCACCCCCCACCCTCCACCCACCGCCACCACCCCCCCACCCTCCACCCACCATCCCCCCACCACCACCCCCCCACCCTCCACCCACCACCACCCCCCCACCACCACCCCCCCACCCTCCACCCACCACCACCCCCCCACCACCACCCCTCCACCCACCACCACCCCCCCACCACCACCCCCCCACCCTCCACCCACCACCCCCCCACCCACCACCACCACCCCCCCACCCTCCACCCACCACCACCACCCCACCCTCCACCCACCACCCCCCCACCCTCCACCCACCACCACCACTCCCCCACCCTTCACCCTCCACCCACCACCACCACCACCACCCCCCACCACCCACCGCCACCACCCCCCCACCCTCCACCCACCACCCCCCCACCACCACCCCCCCACCCTCCACCCACCACCACCCCCCCACCACCACCCCCCCACCCTCCCCCCACCACCACCCCCCACCACCACCCCTCCACCCACCACCACCCCCCCACCACCACCCCCCCACCCTCCACCCACCACCCCCCCACCCTTCACCCACCACCACCACCCCCCCACCCTCCACCCACCACCCCACCCTCCACCCACCACCCCCCCACCCTCCACCCACCACCACCACTCCCCCACCCTTCACCCTCCACCCACCACCACCACTCCCCCACCCTTCACCCACCACCACCACCCCCCCACCCTCCACCCACCACCACCCCCCCACCCTCCATCCACCACCCCCCCACCCTCCACCCACCACCACCACCCCCCCACCCTCCACCCACCACCACCAACCCACCACCACCACCACCCCCCACCCTCTACCCACCGCCACCACCCCCCCACCCTCCACCCACCACCCCCCCACCACCACCCCCCCACCCTCCACCCACCACCACCCCCCCACCACCACCCCCCCACCCTCCACCCACCACCACCCCCCCCACCACCACCCCTCCACCCACCACCACCCCCCCACCACCACCCCCCCACCCTCCACCCACCACCCCCCCACCCTTCACCCACCACCACCACCCCCCCACCCTCCACCCACCACCACCACCCCACCCTCCACCCACCACCCCCCCACCCTCCACCCACCACCACCACTCCCCCACCCTTCACCCTCCACCCACCACCACCACTCCCCCACCCTTCACCCACCACCACCACCCCCCCACCCTCCACCCACCACCACCCCCCCACCCTCCATCCACCACCCCCCCACCCTCCACCCACCACCACCACCCTCCACCCACCACCACCACCCCCCACCATCCACCCACCACCACCCCCTCACCCTCCACCCACCACCACCACCCCCCACCATCCACCCACCCCCACCCCCTCACCCTTCATCCACCACCACCACCCCCCCACCCTCCACCCACCACCACTCATCTGAAACTTGTCTCTCTCCATGTCCCTCTCTGTCTGTGTGTCCCACCCACGTACTGCCCCCCCCGTGCCCCCTCCCCCCCCCGTGACCCCTCCCTCCCCGTGACCCCTCCCCCCCATGCCCCTCCCCCACCGTGACCCCTCCCCCCATGTGTCCCTCCTCCCCCCCCCCAATATGTCCATCCCCCCCCGTGACCCCTCGCCCCCCGTGCCCCTCCCCCCCCCATGGCCCCTCCCCCCCATGCCCCTCCCCCCCATGCCCCTCCCCCCCCATGCCCCTCCCCCCCATGCCCCTCCCCCCCCCATGCCCCTCCCCCCCCCATGCCCCTCCCCCCCCCAGCTGGTGGAGCTGCGCTCCCTGCTGGCCATGGACCCTGCCCTGGTGCTGGCTGCTCGTGACTCTGACGGCTATGGGGCCCTGCACCGTGCAGCCTCACACGGTCACCGCCGCTGTGCCAGCACCCTGCTGCACGCCGGGGTCAGTGGGGGGCGGGGGGGAGACAAAGGCGGCCGGGAGTGGTGCTGGTAGCCACCCACCCCCCTCGTGTGCCACGGTGCCGGTAGCCTTCACGGCACTTGCCCCTGCAGCCTGTTAAAGGCTACACGGGGGAGCTTTGTCTGTGTCTACCTTCACAGGTGCTGCTGCTACTCGCTACTCACAGCACTTGCCCCTACAGCCTGTTAGAGGCTACACGGGGGAGCTTTGTCTGTGTCTACCTTCACAGGTGCTGCTGTTACTCGCTACTCACAGCACTTGCCCCAGCAGTCTGTTAGAGGCTACACGGGGGACCTTTGTCTGTGTCTACCTTCACAGGTGCTGCTGCTACTCGCTACTCACAGCACTTGCCCCTCCCCCTTACCCCCCCTTGCCCCTCCCATTGCCCCTCCCTTGCCCCTCCCCTTGCCCCGCCTTGCCCCTCCCATTGCCTCCCCTTGCCCCTCCCCTTGCCCCTCCCCTTGACCCCCATTGCCCCCCTCCCTTGCCCCTCCCCTTGCCCCTCCCATTGCCCCTCCCCTTGCCCCCCTCCCATTGCCCCTCCCCTTGCCCCTCCCCCCCCAGGCGGAGGTGGGGGCTCGCACCAATGACGGGTGGACGCCGCTGCACTGCGCCTGCCGCTGGAACCACGTGACCCTGGCCTCCACGCTGCTGCAGCACGGGGCCGACGTCAACGCACGCACCAACGTACACACACACACAGTGTACACACACAGTGTACACACATAGTGTACATAGTGTACACACACACAGTGTACACACAGTGTACATAGTGTACACACACACAGTGTACACACAGTGTACATAGTGTACACACACACAGTGTACACACACACAGTGTACACACACAGTGTACACACACACAGTGTACACACACAGTGTAAACACACAGTGTACACACACACACAGTGTACACACACAGTGTACACACACAGTGTACACACACACAGTGTACACACACACACAGTGTACTGTGTGTGTGCACACACAGTGTACACACACAGTGTACACACATAGTGTACACACACACACAGTGTACACACACACAGTGGACACACACACAGTGTACACACACAGTGTACACACACACACAGTGTACACACACAGTGTACACACACACACAGTGTACACACACACAGTGTACACACACAGTGTACACACATAGTGTACACACACACAGTGTACACACACACAGTGTACACACACACAGTGTACACACACACACACAGTGTACACACACAGTGTACACACACACAGTGTACACACACACACAGTGTACACACACACACAGTGTACACACACACACAGTGTACACACACACAGTGTACACACACAGTGTACACACACACAGTGTACACACACACACAGTGTACACACACACACAGTGTACACACACACACAGTGTACACACACAGTGTACACACACACACACAGTGTACACACATAGTGTACACACACACAGTGTACACACACAGTGTGTACACACACACAGTGTACACACACACACAGTGTACACACACAGTGTACACACACACACAGTGTACACACACACACACACAGTGTACACACACAGTGTACACACACACAGTGTACACATACACAGTGTACACACACACAGTGTACACACACACAGTGTACACACACACACAGTGTACACACACACAGTGTACACACACACAGTGTACACATACACAGTGTACACACACAGTGTACACAGTGTACACACACACAGTGTACACACACAGTGTACACACACACAGTGTACACACATAGTGTACACACACAGTGTACACACACAGTGTACACACACACAGTGTACACACACAGTGTACACACACAGTGTACATAGTGTACACACATAGTGTACACACACAGTGTACACACACACAGTGTACACACACACAGTGTACACACACTAGTGTACACACACAGTGTACACACACACAGTGTACACACACACAGTGTACACACACAGTGTACACACACACAGTGTACACACACACACAGTGTACACACACACAGTGTACACACACACAGTGTACACACACAGTGTACACACACAGTGTACATAGTGTACACACACAGTGTACATACACAGTGTACACACACAGTGTACACACACAGTGTACACACAGTGTACATACACAGTGTACACACACAGTGTACACACACAGTGTACACACAGTGTACACACAGTGTACACACACAGTGTACACACACAATGTACACACACACAGTGTACATACACAGTGTACACACACAGTGTACATACACAGTGTACACACACAGTGTACACACACACACACAGTGTACATACACACAGTGTACACACACAGTGTACACACACACACAGTGTACACACACAGTGTACACACACAGTGTACATACACAGTGTACACACACAGTGTACATACACAGTGTACACACACAGTGTACACACACAGTGTACATACACACAGTGTACACACACAGTGTACACACACACAGTGTACACACACACAGTGTACACACACAGTGTACACACACACAGTGTACACACACAGTGTACACACACAGTGTACATAGTGTACACACACAGTGTACATACACAGTGTACATACACAGTGTACACACACACAGTGTACACACACAGTGTACACACACAGTGTACACACACACAGTGTACACACAGTGTACACACAGTGTACACACACAGTGTACACACACAGTGTACACACACAGTGTACACACACACAGTGTACACACAGTGTACACACACAGTGTACACACACAATGTACACACACAGTGTACATACACAGTGTACACACACAGTGTACATACACAGTGTACACACACAGTGTACACACACACACACAGTGTACATACACACAGTGTACATACACACAGTGTACACACACAGTGTACACACACACACAGTATACACACACAGTGTACACACACAGTGTACATACACAGTGTACACACACAGTGTACATACACAGTGTACACACACAGTGTACACACACACACACAGTGTACATACACACAGTGTACATACACACAGTGTACATACACACAGTGTACACACATAGTGTACACACACACAGTGTACACACACACAGTGTACACACACACACAGTGTACACACACAGTGTACACACAGTGTACACACACAGTGTACACAGTGTACACACACACAGTGTACACACACAGTGTACACACACAGTGTACACACATAGTGTACACACATAGTGTACACACACACAGTGTACACACACACAGTGTACACACACACACACAGTGTACACACACAGTGTACACACACAGTGTACACACACACAGTGTACATACACACAGTGTACACATACACACACACACAGTGTACACATACACAGTGTACACACACAGTGTACACATACACACACACACAGTGTACACATACACAGTGTACACACACAGTGTACACACACAGTGTACACACACACAGTGTACACACACACAGTGTACACACACAGTGTACACACACACAGTGTACACACACACACACAGTGTACACACACATACACAGTGTACACACACACACAGTGTACACACACACAGTGTACACACACACAGTGTACACATACACAGTGTACACACACACACAGTGTACACACACAGTGTACACACAGTGTACACACACACAGTGTACACACACAGTGTACACACACAGTGTACACATACACACACGCACAGTGTACACATACACAGTGTACACACACAGTGTACACACACAGTGTACACACACACAGTGTACACACACACAGTGTACACACACAGTGTACACACACACAGTGTACACACACACACAGTGTACACACACACACATACACAGTGTACACACACACACACACAGTGTACACACACACAGTGTACACACACACAGTGTACACACACACACAGTGTACACACACAGTGTACACACACAGTGTACACACACACATACACAGTGTACACACACACAGTGTACGTGTACACACAGTGTACACACACACACAGTGTACACACACACAGTGTACACACACACAGTGTACACACACAGTGTACACACACACACAGTGTACACACACACAGTGTACACACACACGTGTACACACACACACAGTGTACACACACACACAGTGTACACACACACGTGTACACACACACACACACAGTGTACACACACACAGTGTACACACACACACACACACGTGTACACACACAGTGTACACACACACAGTGTACACACACACGTGTACACACACAGTGTACACACACACAGTGTACACACACACACAGTGTACACACACACAGTGTACACACACACAGTGTACACAGTGTACACACACACAGTGTACACACACAGTGTACACACACACATGCACAGTGTACACACACACACAGTGTACACACACAGTGTACACACACAGTGTACACACAGTGTACACACACAGTGTACACACACACAGTGTACACACACAGTGTACACACACACACAGTGTACACACACACAGTGTACACACACACGTGTACACACACACACAGTGTACACACACACACAGTGTACACACACACGTGTACACACACACACACAGTGTACACACACAGTGTACACACACACACACACACGTGTACACACACAGTGTACACACACACGTGTACACACACAGTGTACATAGTGTACACACACACAGTGTACACACAGTGTACACACAGTGTACACACACAGTGTACACACACACAGTGTACACACACAGTGTACACACACAGTGTACACACACACAGTGTACACAGTGTACACACACACAGTGTACACAGTGTACACACACAGTGTACACACACAGTGTACACACACAGTGTACACACACACAGTGTACACAGTGTACACACACACAGTGTATACACACAGTGTACACACACAGTGTACACACACACACAGTGTACACACACACATACACACACAGTGTACACACACACACGTGTACACACATACACACACAGTGTACACACACACAGTGTACACACACACACAGTGTACACACACATACACAGTGTACACACACAGTGTACACACACACGTGTACACACACACACAGTGTACACACACACACAGTGTACACACACACGTGTACACACACACACAGTGTACACACACACACAGTGTACACACACACGTGTACACACACACACACAGTGTACACACACACAGTGTACACACACACACACACGTGTACACACACAGTGTACACACACACGTGTACACACACACGTGTACACACACACAGTGTACACACACACACAGTGTACACACACACACACGTGTACACACACACACAGTGTACACACACACAGTGTACACACACACACACGTGTACACACACACAGTGTACACACACATACACACACACAGTGTACACACACACACAGTGTACACACACACACACAGTGTACACACACATACACACACACAGTGTACACACACACAGTGTACACACACATACACACACAGTGTACACACACACACACACAGTGTACACAGTGTACACACACACACGTGTACACACACACACGTGTACACACACACAGTGTACACACACATACACAGTGTACACACACATACACACGTGTACACACACACAGTGTACACACACATACACACGTACACACGCTGGCAGGAGGTCACGGGGCAGACCCAGGTGCCACGGGTCGACTGACTGAGATGACTGGCTGATGCACCACCTGTGGCCCCTACTGTGCCAACCTGCTGTGCTTTAGCCACCCGGCGCTCCGCTCGTTGTTCTGAGCATCGCTCCTCCGCCCTCCGTTGTTGTTGGAGGGCGACTGCCTCCAACTGCCCAGCAGCATCCTTCACGAGCCTCCTCCACAGAGGCCGATCTTGACACCGCTGGTACCAGTCATCGGCAAGTCCACTCAGCTCCACGTCCTCCTGTACCACATCACTCCATCTCTTCTCTAGCCCGTGCCGCGCCCGTTTAGCCCCCTCAATCCGGCCGAACAAAAGCTGTTTCGGCATGCGGTGGCTGGGCATGTGGGCTACATGACCCAGCCATCGCAGCCTTGCCCGCCGGAGGAGCTCACCGATGGGACCTTGCCCAGATCTTTCAAGAATTTGTGAGCTCCTCACACAATCCAGTCTGGTTAAACCCAAGATGGATCGTAGGCAGGCCAGCCTAAATGTTTCTAACCGGCGAAGATATTCCATTAGGGGGTCCACGTTTCGCAAGCGTAGAGAAGGGAGGGAATGACCGTGGCCGAGAAGACCTGAAGCTTAGTGCGGAGCGACAGACCAGGTAGCTTCCACACAGCGTTACGCAACCGATGAAAAGATATTGCCGCTCGACTGATTCGGAGTGAGACCTCTGCTGTACACACACACACACGTGTACACACACACACGTACACACACACACGTACACACACACACTAGTGTACACACACACACGTGTACACACACACACGTGTACACACACACGTGTACTCACACGTGTACACACACACACGTACACACACACACGTACACACACACGTGTACACACACACACGTGTACACACACACACGTACATACACACACGTACATACACACACGTACACACACACGTACACACACGTGTACACACACACGTACATGCACACGCAGCCCCACGTGCTTCGTCCCCCGCCCTGACGACGCCTGCTGCTGCTGCTGCTGTTTATTTGTAGTCTGCGTTGTCTCTCTCCCGTCACCATCATCATCACGGTGGGTTCCTTCCCGACCCTGACGATGCCGCACTGCGCCCCCACACACAGCCCGCCCACACCCCGCCCAAACCCCGCCCACACCGCATCTTAACCCCGCCCACACCCCGCCCACACCGCATCTTAACCCCGCCCACACCGCATCTTAACCCCGCCCACACCCCGCCCACACCGCATCTTAACCCCGCCCACACTGCATCTTAACCCCGCCCACACTCCTCCCACACCCCATCTTAACCCCGCCCACACCCCTCCCACTCCCCGCCCACACCGCATCTTAACCCCGCCCACACCACGCCCCGCCCACACCGCATCTTAACCCCGCCCACACCCCACCCACACCCCGCCCACACCCCACCCACACCCCTCCCACACCTCATCTTAACCCCGCCCACACCCCTCGCACACCCCACCCACACCCCACCCACACCTCATCTTAACCCCGCCCACACCCCGCCCACACCCCTCCCACACCCCATCTTAACCCCTCCCACACCCCATCTTAACCCCTCCCACACCCCATCTTAACCCCGCCCACACCCCATCTTAACCCCCCCCACACCCCGCCCACACTCCGCCCACACCCCTCCCACACCCCATCTTAACCCCACCCACACCCCGCCCACACTCCGCCCACACCCCTGCCCACACCCCATCTTAACCCCGCCCACACCCCATCTTAATCCCGCCCACACCCCGCCCACACCCCATCTTAACCCCACCCACACCCCGCCCACACCGCATCTTAACCCCTCCCACACCCCATCTTAACCCCGCCCACACCCCCGCCCACACCCCATCTTAACCCCGCCCACACCCCCGCCCACACCGCAGCTTAACCGTTCGCTGCCTACCACGTCCGCCGTTCCGCTACCAGGGCCTCCAGACGGCGCTGCACGTGGCGGCGAGCGAGCAGGGGTCGGCCCGCACCCTGGAGCTGCTGCTGGGGACGCGCGGCGTGGAGACGGAGTGGCGGAACCGAGCGGGGGACACGGCGAGGCAGCTGGCTGAGAGGGCCGGCCCCAACGCCTTCCTGTTCGAGGTGGCGGACGCCTGCGTCAACTCCACCCCAGAGACCTGAGAGAGAGCGGGGGAGGGGGGGGAGGGGGACTGGGAGCAGGCCACACCGTCACTGACCCCCTACCACTCACACCCCAGAGGCTAGAGAGTTAGTGTGGGTCAGGCCACACCGTCACTGACCCCCTACCACTCACACCCCAGAGACTGTGTGTGGGAGCAGGCCACACCGTCACTGACCCTACCACTCACACCCCCAGAGACTAGAGAGTGTGTGGGTCAGGCCACACCGTCACTGACCCTACCACTCACACCCCCAGAGACTAGAGAGTGTGTGGGTTAGGCCACACCGTCACTGACCCCCTACCACTCACACCCCAGTGGCTAGAGAGTGTGTGGGTCAGGCCACACCGTCACTGACCCCCTACCACTCACACCCCAGTGGCTAGAGAGTGTGTGGGCAGGCCACACCGTCACTGACCCTACCACTCACACCCCCAGAGACTAGAGAGTGTGTGGGAGCAGGCCACACCGTCACTGACCCCCTACCACTCACACCCCAGAGACTGTGTGTGGGATCAGGCCACACCGTCACTGACCCTACCACTCACACCCCCAGAGACTAGAGAGTGTGTGGGTCAGGCCACACCGTCACTGACCCTACCACTCACACCCCCAGAGACTAGAGAGTGTGTGGGTTAGGCCACACCGTCACTGACCCCCTACCACACACACCCCAGAGGCTAGAGAGTGTGTGGGTCAGGCCACACCGTCACTGACCCCCTACCACTCACACCCCAGAGACTGTGTGTGGGAGCAGGCCACACCGTCACTGACCCTACCACTCACACCCCCAGAGACTAGAGAGTGTGTGGGTTAGGCCACACCGTCACTGACCCTACCACTCACACCCCCAGAGACTAGAGAGTGTGTGGGTTAGGCCACACCGTCACTGACCCTACCACTCACACCCCAGTGGCTAGAGAGTGTGTGGGTCAGGCCACACCGTCACTGACCCCCTACCACTCACACCCCAGTGGCTAGAGAGTGTGTGGGTCAGGCCACACCGTCACTGACCCTACCACTCACACCCCCAGAGACTAGAGAGTGTGTGGGTCAGGCCACACCGTCACTGACCCCCTACCACTCACACCCCAGAGACTAGAGAGTGTGTGGGTCAGGCCACACCGTCACTGACCCTACCACTCACACCCCAGAGACTAGAGAGTGTGTGGGTCAGCCACACCATCACTGACCCTACCACTCACACCCCAGAGACTAGAGAGTGTGTGGGTCAGGCCACACCGTCACTGACCCTACCACTCACACCCCAGAGACTAGAGAGTGTGTGGGTCAGGCCACACCGTCACTGACCCTACCACTCACACCCCAGAGACGACAGAGTGTGTGGGTCACGCCACACCGTCACTGACCCCCTACCACTCACACCCCAGAGGCTAGAGAGTTAGTGTGGGTCAGGCCACACCATCACTGACCCTACCACTTACATTCCAGAGACTAGAGAGTGTGTGGGTTCAGGCCACAACATCACTGCCCGTACCACTCACATTCCAGAGACTAGAGAGTGTGTGGGTTCAGGCCACAACATCACTGCCCGTACCACTCACATTCCAGAGACTAGAGAGTGTGTGGGTTAGGCCACACCGTCACTGCCCCTACCACTCACACCCCAGAGACTAGAGAGTGTGTGGGTCAGGCCACACCATCACTGACCCTACCACTCACACCCCCAGAGACTAGAGAGTGTGTGGGTCAGGCCACACCATCACTGACCCTACCACTCACACCCCCAGAGACTAGCGAGTGTGTGGGTCATGCCACAACATCACTGACCCCTACCACTCACACCCCCAGACACTAGAGAGTGTGTGGGTCATGCCACAACATCACTGACCCCTACCACTCACACCCCAGAGACTAGAGAGTGTGTGGGTCAGGCCACACCATCACTGACCCTACCACTCACACCCCCAGAGACTAGAGAGTGTGTGGGTCAGGCCACACCATCACTGACCCTACCACTCACACCCCCAGAGACTAGCGAGTGTGTGGGTCATGCCACAACATCACTGACCCCTACCACTCACACCCCCAGAGACTAGAGAGTGTGTGGGTCATGCCACAACATCACTGACCCCTACCACTCACACCCCAGAGACTAGAGAGTGTGTGGGTCAGGCCACACCATCACTGACCCTACCACTCACACCCCCAGAGACTAGAGAGTGTGTGGGTCAGGCCACACCATCACTGACCCTACCACTCACACCCCCAGAGACTAGCGAGTGTGTGGGTCATGCCACAACATCACTGACCCCTACCACTCACACCCCAGAGACTAGAGAGAGTGTGGGTCAGGCCACACCATCACTGACCCTACCACTCACACCCCCAGAGACTAGAGAGTGTGTGGGTCAGGCCACAACATCACTGACCCCTACCACTCACACCCCCAGAGACTAGAGAGTTAGTGTGGGACAGGCCACAACATCACTGACCCCTACCACTCACACCCCCAGAGACTAGAGAGTTAGTGTGGGTCAGGCCACACCGTCACTGCCCCTCCAACCCAACCGCGCCACGGCAGACTCCCCCTGGAACTCTGCCGGGCGGCATCAACGCCCCGCTGGGTGAAGACGCCCCCGGGGGCCGGCCCAGGGTCACGCTGGTGGCGCTCGGGTGGTCGGGGAACGCCTTGGAGACTCGCCCCCAGGCCCCCAGGAAGAGCTGGAGTCTGTCGCCAGGGATAGGGAGGTCTTCGCCTCACGAGATGCGCGAACTTTCTACCGAACCTAATGAAGTTCGCACGGCAGAATGTCTCCTGAACTTAATGAAGATTTACAGGGTGGAATTCTCTTCTGAACTTAATCAAGATTACACGGTTAGATTGTCTTCTGATCTTAATTAAGATTACACGGTGGAAATCTCTTCTGATCTTAATCAAGATTACACGGTGAAATTATATTCTGATCTTAATCAAGATTACATGGTGGAAATCTCTTCTGATCTTAATTAACATTACAAGGTGAAATTATCTTCTGATCTTAATTAAGATTACAGGGTGGAAATCTATTCTGATCTTAATTTAGATTACACGGTGAAATTATATTCTGATCTTAATTAAGATTACAGGGTGGAAATCTCTTCTGATCTTAATTAAGAATACAGGGTGGAAATCTCTTCTGATCTTAATTAAGTTTACACGGTGAAATTCTCTTCTGATCTTAATTAAGATTACACGGTGAAATCTCTTGTGATCTTAATCAAGATTACACGGTGAAATCTCTTCTGATCTTAATTAAGATTACAGGGTGGAAATCTCTTCTGATCTTAATTAAGATTACAGGGTGGAAATCTATTCTGATCTTATTCAAGAATACAGTTAGATTGCCTTCTGATCTTAATTAAGATTACACGGTGAAATCTCTTCTGATCTTAATCAAGATTACACGGTTAGATTGTCTTCTGATCTTAATTAAGATTACACGGTGAAATCTCTTGTTAACTTAATGAAGATTAAACGGTGGAAACGTTCAACCTTCGTCGATTCTGGTTCACTCTTGAATCGGGGTTCTTGGACAGAGTTTTGTAAACGTCGTCTGAAATTGAAGTAAGAGTTTGTTATTAATAAGTTAACTTAAATAAACATGATGTTTTTAATGCCAGGTGTTAAAATGAATGAAACAACCCCTATGTGTCCTGACTTTTTGGCCACCCTGTACAATAACAACCCAATGTGTCCTGACTTTTAGGCCACCCTGTACAATAACAACCCCTATGTGTCCTGACTTTTGGGCCACCCTGTACAATAACAACCCCTATGTGTCCTGACTTTTGGGCCACCCTGTACAATAACAACCCCTATGTGACCTGACTTTTGGGCCACCCTGTACAATAACAACCCCTATGTGTCCTGACTTTTGGGCCACCCTGTACAATAACAACCCCTATGTGTCCTGACTTTTGGGCCACACTGTACAATAACAACCCCTATGTGTCCTGACTTTTGGACCACCCTGTACAATAACAACCCCTATGTGTCCTGACTTTTGGGCCACCCTGTATAATAATAACCCCTATGTGTCCTGACTTTTGGGCCACTGTATAATAACAACCCTATGTGTCCTGGCTTTTGGGCCACCCTGTACAATAACAACCCCTATGTCACCTGACTTTTAAGCCACCCTGTATAATAACCCTATGTGTCCTGACTTTTGGGCCACCCTGTACATCTGTAAATGCACTCCTGATGTGATTGTACACTTTAAATAAACATTAAATGGTGTGGACACTTATAACTGGTGATGGGTTTTAGAATCAGTATTTATACAGCAGGAGGAATCCGATGAGCTATAAAGCTCTTTAATCACAGATGTCCAATAGGGGCAGGTCAACTCTGGGCGGGGATGGAGGGGCACCCCCAGCAGCAGCTGTCCCTGTGGTGGCTAGGAGATGTTAACTACCTCGCCTGGTATGCAAGAGGTCGTGGGTTCGATTCGGATCCTGACGCCTGCTGCTGTATATTTGGAGTTTGCGTTTTTTCTCACGACACACAGACTCAGATACGCATACACTTATAGATACCCATAGACTCACACAAAGTCCCATAGACTCACACAGACCCATAGATTCACACACAGACCCATAGACTCACACAGAGACACATACACTTATAGATACCTATAGACTCATACAGAGACACATACACTCATAGATACCCATAGACTCACACAAAGTCCCACAGACTCACACGGACCCATAGATTCACACACAGACCCGTAGACTCATACAGAGACACATACACTTATAGATACCCATAGATTCACACACAGACCCGTAGACTCACACAGAGACACATAGACTTATAGATACCCATAGACTCACACAAAGTCCCATAGACTCACACGGACCCATAGATTCACACACAGACCCGTAGACTCACACAGAGACGCATACACTTATAGATACCCATAGACTCACACAAAGTCCCATAGACTCACACGGACCCATAGATTCACACACAGACCCGTAGACTCACACAGACCCATAAATGCCCACCCCGAGCCCTCAATACTCTGATAGTGCGCTGTTTTTGAGTTGTACGCCTTTTGGCGTCTTCTGGTCCAACACCAATGGAGACTAAAGGGCTCTAAAGAAAGCCGTCTCGGGTGTGGACCAATCAAATTCAAGGACAGTGCCAATATCATTATCAGAGTTGTCTTTTTTGTTTGCATTTTGACTGCTTGTGTTGTGGTTATTG